GTGTCTAGAGCAGAGCTCTGCAATGGATGCCAGGGTGACCATGTCCACCTTGCCTGCCTTCAGCCTTGTGCCTGGCAGCGAGGCAGAGGATGGAAGCAGGGCAGGAGCTGCTCCTGAGTGCCAAGGCTCCCAAGGGATACCACTGCCCAGGGCAATGGCAAGGTAGGACACAAGAGAAAATGGGGGGGGATTGCTGCTCTCTGAGGGTGGCTTGCGAGGGCATGGGCAGTTCTTGGTGCAATGGAGGCACTGTCACCAAAACTGCAGTGCTGTCCATCCAGAGGGATGTCCCACGCTGTGTGACAGGAGGAAGGAGCTGGAGTGTTTTGCCTGTTTTGTTCCCATCGGGCAGACATGCCCCCGGGGACAGGGACAACGTGCTGTGCAGTCCTGGGAGCACTTCCAGGGGAGGTGGGAACCCCAGGGTGCTGCCAGTTGTCTCTCTGCCTGAGTCGATGTCCTAGCGGGAGGATGAACTTCCTAAAACTGTAGCTCCTCTTGATTCCATGGATGGGCTGTGGAGTGGGTTGGTCATTTCCAAACACCCCAGGAATCACCTGGAGCCGACTTAGTTTTTGTCCCTTCTGTGCTAGCAGAGCAAGTGAGGAAAAAGCTTTCTGGGTAAGTACCCAGAGGGGGGTCCTTGGTGATTTGGCTTGGTGATCTTAAAGGTCTTTTCCAACCAAAGGGATTCTGTGATTCTGTGCATGGAAGAGGATGGGTGGACAGAGAACAGTGTGTTCCCCCTGCTGTGCAGGGAGGATGCAAATCAGAGCAGCCACATGCCAGCTCTGCCTGCTGGGGCAGCTGTCCTGCTCCCTTGGCCTCCTGGGAACAGCGAGTTCAAGGATGAACTGGCTAAAAACTGGAGCTGCAGCATCCAAAGTTCAAAGCTCAGCAACAACAAGACTGTCTTGTCTCGTTCATGTCAGGGTATGAAAAGCCCAGTGCTTTTTAGGCTGACTTTAAAAATCCTCTTGCCCACCATGAACAAGCACAGGCCTTTCCCCCCCACAGCCAGATTTCCCCCATCCTTTCACCTTCCTGTGCATCAATCTTAGAACGATGGATCTGATCACTTCTTTGCATCCCAGGCTGCCCCCCTGAGCTGTTCCAGCAGGAGTCTGAGGGCACCCCACAACCTCAGCTTTCTAGGAAAGGCTTTTCCCTCTCCCCAGCAGCGCACACCTCAGACATCACCACCCAGGAGCTCCAAAAGCAGAGAATCCCAGACTGGTTTGGGTTGGAAGGGACCTTAAGGATCATCCCTGCATGGGCAGGGACACCTCCCACCAGCTCAGGCTGCTCCAAGCCCCATCCAACCTGCCCTTCAACACTTCCAGGGATGGGGCAGCCACAGCTTCCCTGGGCAGCCTGGGCCAGGCTCTCACCACACAGAGGGAAGACTTTCCTCCTCATATCCCACCTCCATCTCCCTTCTTCAGTTTTCATCCATCCCCCTCATCCCATCCCTCCCTGCCCTTGTCCCAAGTCCCTCCCCAGCTTTCCTGGAGCCCCTTCAGGCACTGGAAGGTGCTCTAAGGTCTCCCTGGAGCCTTCTCTTCTCCAGGCTGAACCCCCCAACTCTCCCAGCCTGTCCCCAGAGCTGCTCCAGCCCTGGGATCATCTCTGTGGCCTCCTTGTGTTGGGGACCCCCCAGAAATCAGGAGGTTGGTGTTGTTGGTAAAAAAACCCAAACACCTCTCCCCGGGGGTCTTTTCAAAGGACTTCACAGAACCTGGAAACGTCCCTGGGTTCGGTGGGGTTTTTTTTTGTTTGTGAGGTGTTTTGTTTTGTTGTGGGGGTTTTTTTTTTGGTTGGTTTCTTGTTGGTTGGTTGCGTGTTTGGTTGGTTGGTTGTTGGTGTTTTGTTTGTTTTGGTGGGGTTTTTTTTGTTGTTGGTTTGGTTGGTTGGTTTTTGGGGGTTTTTTTGGGGGTGTTTTTTTGTTTTGGGGTTTTTTTTTGTTGTTGGTTGGTTTGGTTTTGGTTTTTTTTTGTTTTATTGGGTTTTTGGGTGTTTTTTGTTGGGTTTTTTTTGGAGGTGTTTAGTGTGTGTTTTTGTTTTGGTTTTTTTTGTTGTTATTGGTTGGTTGATTTGGTTTTCTGGTTGGTTTTTGGGGGGGGGGTTGGTGTTTTTTTGTTGGGTTTTTGGTTGGGTTTTGTTTGTTTGGGGTTATTTTGTGGTTTTTTTGTTTGTTTTGGGTTTTCTTATTGTTGGTTGATTTGGTTTTTTGGTTGGTTTTATGGGGTTTTTTTGGTTGGTCTTATGGGGGTTTTTTGGTGTGATTTTTTTTTGTTTAGTTTTTTTTGGGGTTGGGTTTTGTTTGGGGGGGGGTTGTGTGATTTTTTTTGATTGTTTGGTTTGTTTTTTGGGTTTTTTTTTTTTTTTTTGTGTGGTTTTTGTGGTT